AATTTATTAAAATTTAAAAAAAAAAAAAAAAAAAAAGTAAATTATCATCTTAAACCATTTCATTTTTACTCTTTTGCTTTATCAAGTGGCGTAGAAAGAGAAATTAGATGGTAGGGCGAAAAAAATTTTGACGCAACTATATCACACTATACCAGGTATAATTACATTTTCTATAAAATAAAAATAATTGTTATTAGTAGTAGATGAATAGAAATTAAGTAAACAGGTTATAATTACTAAAAATGAATATAAAATGGTCTAATTAATTAATTTTTTTTCTTAAATTTAATTTATTTACTCAAAAATTTTCATATTTCTTCTTTTTTCACTGTTTAATTAACAATTGGGATGTAAGTAAGCAATTAAAGGTAATTTATAAAAAAAAAAAAAAAAAAAAAACATGAAGGAATTAAATACTGTGGAGCAAAACAACAATGACATAGAAGTTTATTCTAACGGAACTACAGGTAAGTTTATAAAGCAATGATTTATTACTTCAATTAATGGATATTGCTGATTTCAGAATCTACTCCTGATAAAAAAATTAAAGAAGAAGTCACAAAAAATTTGATTGATGAAAAGAATGTTGTTTTGAACGATAATTACAACTCCATTATAAAAGAAGGAATTTATTTGATAAAAGAACAAGTAAAATTATATAATGCAACAATGCAGTACTTACTAAAAACAATTAATTTAATTGCTGATAAGAAAATTCCGCAAAAAATCATCTCTGATTATTCTTCGATTGTTACTAGTCATAATTTACTTTTAGATAAAGATAAAATAAATAGCGAAATAACTTTAAAAATATGGAATGGTTCATTTGTTAAAAGTGAAGAAAGTTGTAATGCAACAATTGTTGAAAATAAAAAAGCTGAGGAAAATGTTGAAGATTCAACTAAAGATCAATCTGATAAATCGCCTAAAATAGATAAAAATTCTGCACAAGTGGATGATGATATTGAAATATTGAATAAATCTATTTCTTCAATGGATTTGAATTCATCCGATGAACTTATGAATGTAATGGATGTTGATCTAGATCCGAAGCAAGCAGATTCAACTTTATATTCTTCTCTGACCTCTTCATCTTCACCATCTACTGTTATTCTTAAGAAGAATACCTATCCTGTAAATATTGATACTTTATCCAATCCAGTTGTATTAGACAACAAAACGTCAAAAGAAATTCCACTTGAAGTAAGCAATAATTCCGAAGAGCCGAATAAAAAGCTGAGTTTAATCGAAGTACTAAAAAACGCAAATAAGTCTTATTCAAATGTAAGAAGTAACTAATAATTACATTTATATCAATATTATTTTTAAAAATAATTTTTTATTTGTTTTAGATGAATCGAGCATCTCAAAGATTGAAACGTAAAGCTGTAGATGAAGAAATTAGTTTGGAAAATAATAAAAAGTGCTTTACAGCTGACGGAAACAATGATGATAAAGATAATTCATCATCACAACGACGTATAATTCACTCTACAAAACGTAAAGTTTTGAACGCGAAAATTTATTCGAAGAAACAAGAATTCAAAGTTCCAGAGAGTTTTTTGCCGGTTGTTCGACTTCAGAGAATTAAGTTACCTATTAATGAAAAAAATTTGTCAGCTATGAAGACGAAAGTTAGGAAATTAGAGACTGAAAAGAAGGATAATGTTTATAATTTAAGACCATCAAGTAGAAAAAATAATTGTACTGAAATTAAAAAAATAAATAACATTAAAGTAAACTGCGAACTGTGTGACAAGACATTTAAAACAAAAGGTAATTGTTTTTTGTTTATTTTATTTATGTTTACCATGAAATTAGATTTTTTCGTGATTTTTATTACTCATGATTTTATTTGCAGAATGTCTTAAAGCACATGCTCAATCTCAACACGTTAAAAAGAACTTTAAATGTAAGAAATGTAACTATGCGTCTAATTTTCAAGGAAATTTACGGCGACACATCAAGATTCATCAGGATACAGCGGTAGTTTCGCAATCTAATCTGAAAACTTGCTTGCGATCCTATGCAGCCAAACTTCATCAGCGCGATAGCTGCTCTGAGGTCAACAGATCTAAAAGCAGTTTTAAGTGTAGTATCTGCTTGTATACTACAAAATCTCTAGAATTGTTGAATGAACACACAAAAAGTCATAACAATAATAAATTGTTTAATTGCAATGACTGCGACAAGACTTTTGGAAGAAAAAAATTATTACAAGAACACCGAGCCACTAGTCATGCTTCGCAGAGTAGCAGATACTCGTGTAATGAATGTCAACTGACATTTTCCTACTACGGTCGTCTGTCTCGTCATCTTAGAACTGTTCATGGAGTTGTAGCTGGAGCTATAAACTCCAAAAATAATCATTAATATTTAATTTTTATCCATTATTTTGATTTATTTTTTTTGAAATTATTTCATAGAAAAAAAATTAAGTGTATACTTACTATATAAAAAAGTTAAAATTATTTCTTCATGATAAAAATTTGTGGTATAATTTTTTGAGATTCTTGATTAATCCTTCATCTTTTTATTTTTTTAAGCAGATAGATAATTGTTTAATTTAAATTTTAAAATTTTAACAAACAACAAGAAATTGTTAAATTACTTGATAAATTTTATTTAACAATGTTTCTAATTGTTTACTTAAATTTAATAAAACACCATCATTTGTTTCTGCCTCTTGAAGAGTTTAAAAAACGATCGAAATCAAGTATTTAAAATAAAAAATGAAACTTATTGTACTTACACATGCCAAAAAATTAATGTTAAAAATATTACACGGGCCGCGCTAGGGTATTAAAATTGCAAAATGGCTGACATTCGTACCTCTGTTTCAACTCCACAAGATAATAACTTAGTTTGTTTGTCAATAAAATCTCAATAATGGAAAATGAAGATCTTGTTTTTCTGTCAGAGTATTTAGGAATTCACTTAGAAGAATTAAAAAAAATTGATGTTCCTCAAAAAAGTATTATTATTACTTCATTTATTGATTATTGTTCATCGCAGACGGACACCTCGGAAAACACCGAACTCTTTGTTGGAAATGATACAGTGGATCAATATCATTATGAAATCCACAGCGTTGAATATATTTGCCAAGATTGTGGTGAATCTTTTAACTCTCCAGGTAATTATTTACTTTTTTAAATTATTTCTACGAACGTATTTATTGATTATTACTCACTATTCTAGATCTACATAGACAGCACGAATTGTCTACTCACTTAAACATTGAAGTCAAGACTGAATTCGACGTTACATATGACGACTGCAATCTAGAAATTAAAGAGGAAATTGATTGTAAATATTTACTTCCCGAAGAAGGTTGTACGGAGAAAAATACAGCCAAGTGTTTACTTGACAGCTACAAATTTTCAGAAGAAAATACTGTTGGATCTTACAAAGAAGGTGATCAATATCAATGTGATATGTGTCATTACACCTCCAGCATTCTCGAGAAATTTAACAAACACCTCCTCAAGCACAAGAACAAATTAACTCTTAGTAATAAATTGGACCAGAAAATTAATAAAGCTACCAAGTTAAAAGTAAAAGTAAATAATTTCAATAAAAATGAATTTTTTTATTGTTACTTCTGCCAATATAAGACGCCAAAGCCAATTCGACTTAGAAATCACGAAAAATTTCATTTAAAACCTAAAGTAGTTATTTGTGATCATTGTGGGAGATGGTTCAAGTCAAAAATATCTCTTGAAAAACACTTAACACTCTATCACAATTTAGAGTCTCAATGTGATATTTGTCAACAAAAGTTCGTCGATGAAAATGATTTGCGACTTCACTTGAAATGTCATCGAAGAGGAAAATTTTATCATTGTGATTTATGTCAATACAAAGCTTTACGCTTACTTATGGTTAAAGATCATAAAAGCAAGCACATGAGACCTGAATGTTATGTTTGTGATCATTGTGGCCGGCCATTAAAGTCCAAAATTTCTCTTAAAAAACACTTGAATCTCTACCACAAACTTCATCTCTCGAAGCCTCATCTCTTTACTTGTCTTCAATGCGGTCAACGTTATCAATCGAAGATATGTTTAGAAAAACACTCAGACTTATGTGGAAAAAAAAATCCGAAAGAAGAAGCTTTGCTGATACACATATAAAATTTTATAAATTTTAATCCACTTTAAAATTATATCTATAATTGGCGTTATAACTATGGATCAAATTTTTGAAAAAATTTATAAAGTTTGATTTATTAGTAAAAAAAGTAATTAGAGCACATTGTATTTTGAATATTGATTATTCAAAAGATCGTCAGTTACCATAATACTAATAATAACATATATATTTTCAATAATTACGTTATTTCATTTGTTAAAAAAACAACTATATTACAAGATAGTTTTAATTGTTATAATTTCAACATTAAATGTTGCAAAAAGTCCTCGTGTTATGATAAGTAGTATATATACTCACAACTGATATTTTCGGACTAAGATGATTATTATTTGAACAATTTATTGTTTAATTAGCTATATTATGTATAAGATTTACTTATTCCGTATTTCAAGAAAAAAATCATTGCTCTATAATAAAAAAATTTTCTCAATAATTTTTTCAAATATTTATTCTAAAGTTACCCTTTCTAGCACTCTTATTCTATCATCAAAGAAAAAAATTATCCTCTATTTATTATTATCAGTTATGAAAAATTTAAGTTTATTGAATTGAAGCTACATAGTAAATCAATCAGCATTACCATAATTAAAATGTAAAACGACTCAAGATTTATACATATACATATAGAAAAAAAAATTCCAAACTTGCTTACAAACAAATCTAACCTAGTAAAGTACACGTATTTATTCAACTTCGGCTCTAAAAAAAATGAAATGCACGTCAAATAAGATCTAGTTTTTTTTTTTTCAATATTTACTTAATTATCCATCATTTTAATTTATAAATATAAATAAGTTACATATTTATATGAAGCAATGTCAAACAATAATGAACTGTCGAGCCTTTTTACATTTTTATCAAACGCAGTGAAAACTCTTGAAATTCCTAAAGAAAGTCCTGTCACATGCTCCGTCGAAGATGCTCCTTTGGAAAAACTAGTGATAACAAATCCAGAGGTAATTTATTGACCTGAAATTATAAGTGTATAAAATATTTATGTAATGTTTCAGGATTCTAAATGTGCAGATATTAACTACTTTTTTTTTTTACTTACAGATTATTGGTAACATTAAAATGGATTCGGGAGAAGAATTTTTATATACACTCAAAAGTGTCGAATATATTTGCCAAGATTGTAACAAATCATTTTGCTCGGCAAGTAAGTGCGTTTGTTTATATAGTAATATAAATATATTTAAAAGATGATAATTAATTAGTATACTTAACAGAGCTACATGCGGCCCATACTCAGGAGTTTCATGTTCACGTAGGGCCTCATAAGTCCATTGGAGCAAAAAATATCGAGGAATTTTTCAAAAATATGGACCGTGTGAGTGCTCGAATTCCAACTGAAGTTCATAGCTCAAAGGTTACACCTGCGCGTGAAGATGATAAAAGTTTATTGCGTCTTTCTGGAAATAGATCGAGAGTTACTAGAAGTACAAAACATGGAAATTCACCTAAATCTAACAACCTGATGTATACTAAAGAAGAAGGTTATTACGCTTGTCGAATGTGTGATTCGAAATTTTGTGATCGTGAGAATATTGTCAAACATGTTCGTAAAAAGCATTCACGAATGTCATTGGAGAACCACCAATCGAACCTGCCCAGTTCAACGGAGCAAAAGCAAACAATGAATCAAATTTTGAAGATAAAATCAGATTGTAACATTCAGAAAAAAAATAAATTTAAATGTGACCTTTGTTCATGTCAATATAAGCATAAACGTCATTTGACACAGCATAAGTGCGACAAACATGGTGAAAAGTCAATTAAAGCTGAAAATACAGAAGAGTTTACCTGTGAGCTTTGTTCAAAAAATTATATACGCAAGGGTGATTTAACGAGGCACAAAAACATGTACCATTCAGATTATTTAACTAATGGAAAATTTAAGTGCAACATTTGTCAAGCTCAATTTGATTCTAGTCGTAGTGTGTTGATACACAAACGCAAACAGCATTCGATAGAGTAATTGTTACATACAAAGTTTCACTGGGAAATTTGATGAAAAAAGTTTTCCAGTCGAAGGAATCTGAAAAAAAAACACCGACGAGATCAACATCAGAATATTGATGATTCACAAAAATTCATTGGAATTATTAAGTGTAATTATTAATACGCGTTTTTTTTTAAATACTAATCGCTTTTTACTACTTTGCATTAGAATTTAAAATACACGAGCTGATGATAAGACAATAGTTGATTCTACAGTTTTCTCTCATATTTTTTTAAACGTTACAGTATAGCATTACTAAACATTTGCATTAATTTTAACAAGTCATTTTTTATCTAAAAATTAATTCCTAATTATAAATATTATACTTTATCGCTTGTTAATGTACTGAAGTTTCTACATATATATTTAGTAATAACATATATTCACTTGATTTCAAGTAAATTGTAAGTTTTGTTATTATTGTTGAATAAATATTCTTTTATTAGATGAAATTTGTGATATTTACGCAAAATAAAAAATAAATTTTGAAATTTACTAGCCATACGTTTTTATGATCTGAAATTAGCAGACATGTGACAATTGGTGGAATTTTTATAACCAATTAATTATGATTGTTGTTGGGACTGGGAGATTTCCCAGACAGCCGTTGTCGCCCAATTAATGATTATAAAAAATATATTTTTAAAAATTCGCACTTACATCTAATTTTTTAAAATTTTTATACATGTGGAATTTTTTTACTAAATTTTTTTCATTATAAGTTAATTTTGTAGAAATTTAAATATTTGTTAGATTTCTGTTCTACTCAGCATCACATTTTTATGATACTAAAGTTAGCCGACGTTCAAAAATTTTTCTATTTTTTTCAACAATTAAATTGCAAGTAAAAAAATACTTTAAAACAAATTACACGTATAATTTTTGAAATTTTCTACATGTGAAATTTGTTCTTTAAATTTTATTGTAATAATTTTTTCAATAAAAATAGTTATAAAATTTTCAGATGTCGGCTAATTTAATTTTCATCACATTTTTTCATGACACTGAAGTTGACAGATATTAAAAATTTTTTTAGAATTTTATATCAGTTAAATTATTATAAAAAAAATTTAATTAAAAAGTTTCACACGTGAAAATTAATAAAAATTATGAAAATTAAGTTAGCCGACATTTAAAAATTTTTATAATTTTTTTTTATTGAAAAAATCATTACAAAAAAATAAAAAAAAATTGCACGTCTAAAAAACTTCAAAAACTGTAAGTGCAATTTTAAAAAAAATTTTTTTCTTCTAATTTAATTATTAAAAAAAAATCAAAAAATTTAGAACGTCGGCTAACTTTAATGATATATAAAAATTGCAAGTGAAAATTTTTAGAAGCATTTTTTTATTGTAATTATGGTTTATTGAAAAAATTTTTAAAATTGAATTGTGAGAATTGACAGTTGACGGCTAACTTCAGTATTATATATTTTTCAAGATAACAATGAAAAAAAAAAAACAATTTTATTAAAAAATTTTCTAAAAATAATTTTTCAGTTATTATTTATCAATTAAATCATTTTTAAAAAGTGCAAAAGTATATATTGATATTCAATTTTCACGGTCGAATCTTGACTACTTACAATCACAATAAAAACATGCTCAGAACTTGGGTAAAGTATCCATAACACACACATATATATACATTTTATTCCGGTATATGTGTGCGCTCCCAGTCGATGAGGCATATGGATTGAGAAATTTTTGATTTTAAAGTTTTTAAATCCCGTTTTTCATCAAATTGTTAAAAAATGGTGAATTTTAAAGCAAATCTTTTATCAAATATCCCGAAAAGATATCTGCCTATTGTTTTACTAAAGAAACTTCAAATCTCTACAATAAATAACCCTACTTTTTTGTGTTCACCTGTCACAAAATCAAAGTTACAAAAAAATTCAGGGAAAAACATTGACCGGGTTGAAATTAAAGATCAAAATAATAACCAAGGTCAATTGGATGAATATAATTTTGATAAAGAAGATATTATTCCAACTTGTTTCAATTCAGAAACTGAATTTCGAAGACATGATATAGAAGTTTTATCAACACATGTAAGAATTTCATTTTCATTAATTGTATTTTGGTTTAATATTAAAATTAATTTAGTATATAATTCCAGGATCATGATTTAAAAATTAAATCCAACTATTGTCAAAATAATGACAATTGTGAAAATTTTAGTGGGCAAGTTTTAGAGAGCGACAATTGTTGTCCCGCCAAGACAAAACAAGTTCAAGTTGAAGTTTCTTCACCGGAATTTTCCTCAGAAAAACAAGAATTATTTTCTGATGAACAGATTTTTGAAAATGTTCCTCAGATAACTTTTTTTTCTAACGTGGAGAATGACGAACTACAGACAGAGGAATCAGAGGTTGACGTTGAAGGCTTGAGTGAGTCTGACGAAGAAAGTACCAGCAGTATTCGAACTGAAAATTTTAATAAAAGCTTATACGACAATGAATTAAGAGTACTTGACCTAACAAGTGATTCATCAATGTCTAATGATGGTAGGTATCAAATGATTTTTATTTTTTATCATCCAAACAAATATCAAAAATGTAAAATTTAACATGGCTCTATTTATTAAAAAACCTGAAAATTAAAAAAATGAAATTATAGATGCACTTAGTAATCAGGGAGTTAAGTTGAAAACTAGAGAAATTTTACTGTACATTAATTTTAATTATTTTACAAAACTCATTTTAATCTAAGTTTTTTAAGCTATTAAACTTGAAAAACCTGAAGTATATTAGTATGGTGTTGAATTCCAAAATATTAATTGAAATTTTGTTTAAAATCAATGCTTTTCATACACTGATAAAAAATTAACTTGATTGAAGAAAAAAAATCTTGAATCACTAAAATCACTTTAATTGATTGGTTTAAAACAAAGGCATTCTACTAACTTAACTTCTTAGTTAAAAATTTCTTCTCTTGAATCAAATTTACTTTTTTATCCGTATAAAATTAGAAGAACTTCATCTTTTATAAGATGATTCTTAAAATTAGATATATGTAAATTTTAAAAGTTTTGCCAACTTATTCCAATCAACTAAGATTTAATTAATTCATTAAAACACTAAACTCATCAAATAAATTAATCAAGATATGTGTAACCTCATTATTCATTTATTTTACAGAATCAGAGAAATATCAGCCGCCTGAGATTGCTAACACGATTAATGAAAATAATGATGGTGGTAACACAATTAATGAACGTAATGATCGTAGTTACACGATTGATGAACATAATGATCGTGATAACACGATTGATGAACATAATGATCTTGGTAACACGATTGATGAACATAATGATCGTGGTTATATATCCAAGTTTCTTAAGGATCACAATCAAGTCAAAAACCAGTTTATTAGTAAATATAAAAGAAAGAAACAGCTCAAGAAATGCCCCGAGTGTGATTTTGTGACTATGTGGAATTTACGCCGTCATATGATCCGACATAGCACTGATCGGCCTTATAAATGTTCTCATTGCAACTATTCTAGCAAAACTAAGTGTACGTTGAAAATTCATATTCGCTCTCATTCAGATGAGAAAAATTTTAAATGCTCAGTATGTCCATATCGCAGCAAATTGCTATCTAATTTGCAGCGGCACATTCGTATACACACTGGCTTTCGTCCCTATAAATGCAGTCAATGTTTCTACGCAAGTGCCTATTTAGAGAATTTAAAGCGTCATAGATTTACTCATACTGGTATTCGCCCCTTTAAATGTTCAGTATGTTCCTTTGGCAGTATAACTTATCATGGTCTTCGGGTTCATTCAAAAACTCATAATACTATAAAATCATTCAAATGTACTAAATGCTTGTATGCCACTACAACGAAAGACAATTTGATGCGGCATTCTCGTAGGCATTTAAGAGCAAAATCTTACAAATGTTCACATTGCTTATTTGCAACCAAAACTTTGAGAATTTTCAAGCAACATTTGTGTACACATGAAGAAAAAGATTCAACTGATACGAATATAAACAAATCAGAAATACAATTAAAGAGTTTAAATAATACAACAAAACAACTTTATTCTTGTTACGATTGTAAAATGTCATTTAAAAGAAAAGCAACATTGGAAAAACACTGGAAGTTGCATCATTACTCCCAAATTCAAAAAGATAATAATTATCATTGCTCACTATGACAACAAATGTCGACAAGTTATGGTTCTTTTATTCAACATCTTTAGTTGGCTCATGAAATGAATTCTTCGAATAACAAAACATAAGTTATTACCATAAAACAAGAAATTGGATAGTATAATTATCCTACATAATTGATTTATTAATTTGATTATTTATAAGAAAATTATTAAGATTAATATAATTTTTGAATCAAGTTTAACTTGATGTTCATTTATAAAAAATAATTTATTAAAAAATAAGTAATATTTTGAAGATATTGATCATTAGGGCCCGAAATTTCGTCACCGTTTAAGTACGCGTTTTATTATATACTTGATAAAGTTCAAATGAAATGAACGGGATTTCGCTGAATAGCTAACTAGTGTCAGTAACGTTACCGTCTAATTCTTCCAATATCCTCTTACAAATAATAAATACTAATTGCCATAATATTTTAATCAATAAATCATGAAAATAGAGTGTTTATATTCTGTTTTCTAAGTATTCTATTTTCTATTAATATTATTCTAATATTCTATTTTCTAATTGCATCACTTGCATCACAATAATTACTATGATTTTAGATATATAATTGAAGTAATGAATAATAATTATATATTTCAATTGATTTTATTTTTTAAGTAATTTTTTTTACTTATAATATTTCTGTCGGTTAATTTCATACTTTGTATATCATTTTAAATCAATAAATACCTTAAAAAAATAAAATTTTTATTATTTTTAACATTATTATCTTTTTAATTTAAAACTAATCTAAAATTTTTAGGTGAAATTTTGATAACATACATTAAAATTATTTTTAATTTTTATTAACTTTGAAAAAAAAAAATATGCGAATTTTTACGAACAAGATTTATTTGTCAAGTATTTGGAAAATCAATTATAAAAAATAGGATAGTTTAAAAAGTGATTTACTATGTGTATATATAAATGTGAATTGTCTATATGAATGAGTAAATTATAAATTTTATAAGATTAAAAAAAAAATTCGAAATGTAGAAATTGAAAAAAATTGTAAGAATAAATTTTTTTATTATTATTGGTTTGTCATAAAAATTTCGAAAATGGCCAAATTTTTGCTTATTTCAGTGTCTTAAAAAAATGATAGTACAAATTGTTTCACTTACTTTTTTTACTTTCAGTTATTTTTTAAATTGTATAGATTAATTCCAAGTACGCAGTCGATACCTCTCAAAAAATTCACTACAAGACTGAAAGAATTAATTGGAGTAAACAAATTTGTTACGTAACAAAGTACCTTGTTGCTCTCATATTAAGTTTTAGAAAACACTAACATGATCCAAATAAAAACCATTCATTATTCACTCATATATGGAAAGTTTAAAAAATAAAAAATGTTATTTTCTTTTAAATAATATTAAAAAACGACCAAGTAAGTGCTAAATTTAATGTCATAAATTCTGCTAAATTTTTTATAATGATATTTTATATAATTTGTGATTAATTACTGACTTATTAAATATTGAAGAATAAAAATAAGTTGATTAACAAACAGTTACAAAAAACATTCTTGAATAATAACATATAAAAAGAGTAATATTATAAAATAGTTTAAATTTTCTCATCCAAATTTCCAAACTAAACTTAATTACTCTATTAATTGATACAGAGATCGTAATTATTCAAATAATTCAACATGTCATTGATAAACGTAGCAGGTAGAAGCTTATAAAAAGTTTAAATAGTAAAAATAGTTCAAATTGTGTAGCAATTTTCTCACACAATTCTCAAAACCTGCTTCAATTACTCTTTCAATTTATACAAATCATAGTTAGTCAAAAAAAAGATTATTTCGTTGATAACAGTAGCAGGCAGAAGTTTACGAAAAATAACCAGCAGTACTTCTTCTGCTTGTTCAAATAACACCTTGCGCTGCAGAGCTTTCTTCATATGAAATGCGAGCATCCTTCCGTAAATTGGAAAATTTTCGATCAGTTCTTCTTCGTTGCCAGCAGGAACTTGAATGTTTTTGAACCGCAAGGTCAGTAGATGTTGTGAAACACGAAGGATTCTAAAGAAAGACCAGTTAATTGATGGTTCGTAGGTGTTCATCATCAATTGGACTTCTCTAAAACATTCAGCTTGAATTGGACCAGTTTCAGCATCCTTATCAAGAATACCTCGGCACTCTTGACAGATATAAAACCCAGCTACCATTAATTTAATAAGGTGACGTTTTATGCTATTAAAAGATTTGCAAGATTTGTAAGATTTGCAATTCAGTTTCGAGAGTTTTGTACCGACTCCGCCAGTCGGTTAATGAACTGAACGTTGCTCTAAAGCGTCAATTAGTAACTAGTTTGGTGCTTCCTATTTTTGACTACTGTGCCGTAGCTCTGACCAACCTTAATCAGGGCCTTGAGAAAAAGTTGAAAGTCGCTCTGAACAACTGTGCGCGTTTTGTACTGCGTAAACGACTTGGAGAGCACATTAATGGACCGCGGCTTGATCTTGGGTGGCTCTCGCCATATCATCGTCGACTTCACCTGATGAGCTGCGTTTATTACGGAATGTTGGTCATGAATAAAAATGCTTTGTTAAAAGACAGAATAAGGATGAACCATAACGTTGCGAGACATAGGGACAATAATCGGACTGATACACTTCTGGCGCCGATCCCACGTACTTCAATTTTCCAACACTCCTTTTTGGTTCTGGGAACTTCCTTTTGGAATTCCTTGCCGCCATCAATAACAGCAGCTGAATCATTAGCAATATTCAAAACAAATTGTTATAAACACTTATTAGCTACTGAGCGTGCCGATCTCTAAGTGCGTATTTTTGGCTGAGTGCAATTTAGTTACTTGCTATCCTGTGCAATATGGTATAAGACTAGAAATAGACTGTTTTTGTTTCAGCATTCATTATTAATCTTAATTAATTAAATTTGTATTACTGCGATCCCTGATTAAAAAAAGGAATTTGACAGAATTAAAAAGAATTAAAATGTTAATACTTCCAAATTCTGCTAAATACTGCAAATCCTGTTTCAAAATTCACGATTAATCATATTAAATACTTTGTAATCCTGAAATAATGTTTTCATTTCAATATTTTTTTAGAATATAAAAAGATTTAACTAGCATTTAAAATTTCTGATTCTATAGAATACTTTGTAATCCTGAAATAATGCTTTCATTTCAATATTTTTTTAGAATATAAAAAGATTTAACTAGCATTTAAAATTTCTGATTCTATAGAATACTTTGTAATCCTGAAATAATGCTTTCATTTCAATATTTTTTTAGAATATAAAAAGATTTAACTAGCATTTAAAATTTCTGATTCTATAGAATACTTTGTAATCCTGAAATAATGCTTTCATTTCAATATTTTTTTAGAATATAAAAAGATTTAACTAGCATTTAAAATTTCTGATTCTATAGAATACTTTGTAATCCTGAAATAATGCTTTCATTTCAATATTTTTTTAGAATATAAAAAGATTTAACTAGCATTTAAAATTTCTGATTCTATAGAATACTTTGTAATCCTGAAATAATGCTTTCATTTCAATATTTTTTTAGAATATAAAAAGATTTAACTAGCATTTAAAATTTCTGATTCTATAGAATACTTTGTAATCCTGAAATAATGCTTTCATTTCAATATTTTTTTAGAATATAAAAAGATTTAACTAGCATTTAAAATTTCTGATTCTATAGAATACTTTGTAATCCTGAAATAATGCTTTCATTTCAATATTTTTTTAGAATATAAAAAGATTTAACTAGCATTTAAAATTTCTGATTCTATTGAATACTTTGTAATCCTGAAATAATGTTTTCATTTCAATATTTTTTTAGAATATAAAAAGATTTAACCAGCATTTAAAATTTCTGATTCTATTGAATACTTTGTAATCCTGAAATAATGCTTTCATTTCAATATTTTTTTAGAATATAAAAAGATTTAACCAGCATTTAAAATTTCTGATTCTATTGAATACTTTGTAATCCTGAAATAATGCTTTCATTTCAATATTTTTTTAGAATATAAAAAGATTTAACCAGCATTTAAAATTTCTGATTCTATTGAATACTTTGTAATCCTGAAATAATGCTTTCATTTCAATATTTTTTTAGAATATAAAAAGATTTAACCAGCATTTAAAATTTCTGATTCTATTGAATACTTTGTAATCCTGAAATAATGCTTTCATTTCAATATTTTTTTAGAATATAAAAAGATTTAACCAGCATTTAAAATTTCTGATTCTATTGAATACTTTGTAATCCTGAAATAATGCTTTCATTTCAATATTTTTTTAGAATATAAAAAGATTTAACCAGCATTTAAAATTTCTGATTCTATTGAATACTTTGTAATCCTGAAATAATGCTTTCATTTCAATATTTTTTTAGAATATAAAAAGATTTAACCAGCATTTAAAATTTCTGATTCTATTGAATACTTTGTAATCCTGAAATAATGCTTTCATTTCAATATTTTTTTAGAATATAAAAAGATTTAACCAGCATTTAAAATTTCTGATTCTATTGAATACTTTGTAATCCTGAAATAATGTTTTCATTTCAATATTTTTTTAGAATATAAAAAGATTTAACCAGCATTTAAAATTTCTGATTCTATTGAATACTTTGTAATCCTGAAATAATGCTTTCATTTCAATATTTTTTTAGAATATAAAAAGATTTAACCAGCATTTAAAATTTCTGATTCTATTGAATACTTTGTAATCCTGAAATAATGCTTTCATTTCAATATTTTTTTAGAATATAAAAAGATTTAACCAGCATTTAAAATTTCTGATTCTATTGAATACTTTGTAATCCTGAAATAATGCTTTCATTTCAATATTTTTTTAGAATATAAAAAGATTTAACCAGCATTTAAAATTTCTGATTCTATTGAATACTTTGTAATCCTGAAATAATGCTTTCATTTCAATATTTTTTTAGAATATAAAAAGATTTAACCAGCATTTAAAATTTCTGATTCTATTGAATACTTTGTAATCCTGAAATAATGCTTTCATTTCAATATTTTTTTAGAATATAAAAAGATTTAACCAGCATTTAAAATTTCTGATTCTATTGAATACTTTGTAATCCTGAAATAATGCTTTCATTTCAATATTTTTTTAGAATATAAAAAGATTTAACCAGCATTTAAAATTTCTGATTCTATTGAATACTTTGTAATCCTGAAATAATGCTTTCATTTCAATATTTTTTTAGAATATAAAAAGATTTAACCAGCATTTAAAATTTCTGATTCTATTGAATACTTTGTAATCCTGAAATAATGTTTTCATTTCAATATTTTTTTAGAATATAAAAAGATTTAACCAGCATTTAAAATTTCTGATTCTATTGAATACTTTGTAATCCTGAAATAATGCTTTCATTTCAATATTTTTTTAGAATATAAAAAGATTTAACCAGCATTTAAAATTTCTGATTCTATTGAATACTTTGTAATCCTGAAATAATGCTTTCATTTCAATATTTTTTTAGAATATAAAAAGATTTAACCAGCATTTAAAATTTCTGATTCTATTGAATACTTTGTAATCCTGAAATAATGCTTTCATTTCAATATTTTTTTAGAATATAAAAAGATTTAACCAGCATTTAAAATTTCTGATTCTATTGAATACTTTGTAATCCTGAAATAATGCTTTCATTTCAATATTTTTTTAGAATATAAAAAGATTTAACCAGCATTTAAAATTTCTGATTCTATTGAATACTTTGTAATCCTGAAATAATGCTTTCATTTCAATATTTTTTTAGAATATAAAAAGATTTAACCAGCATTTAAAATTTCTGATTCTATTGAATACTTTGTAATCCTGAAATAATGCTTTCATTTCAATATTTTTTTAGAATATAAAAAGATTTAACCAGCATTTAAAATTTCTGATTCTATTGAATACTTTGTAATCCTGAAATAATGCTTTCATTTCAATATTTTTTTAGAATATAAAAAGATTTAACCAGCATTTAAAATTTCTGATTCTATTGAATACTTTGTAATCCTGAAATAATGTTTTCATTTCAATATTTTTTTAGAATATAAAAAGATTTAACCAGCATTTAAAATTTCTGATTCTATTGAATACTTTGTAATCCTGAAATAATGCTTTCATTTCAATATTTTTTTAGAATATAAAAAGATTTAACCAGCATTTAAAATTTCTGATTCTATTGAATACTTTGTAATCCTGAAATAATGCTTTCATTTCAATATTTTTTTAGAATATAAAAAGATTTAACCAGCATTTAAAATTTCTGATTCTATTGAATACTTTGTAATCCTGAAATAATGCTTTCATTTCAATATTTTTTTAGAATATAAAAAGATTTAACCAGCATTTAAAATTTCTGATTCTATTGAATACTTTGTAATCCTGAAATAATGCTTTCATTTCAATATTTTTTTAGAATATAAAAAGATTTAACCAGCATTTAAAATTTCTGATTCTATTGAATACTTTGTAATCCTGAAATAATGCTTTCATTTCAATATTTTTTTAGAATATAAAAAGATTTAACCAGCATTTAAAATTTCTGATTCTATTGAATACTTTGTAATCCTGAAATAATGCTTTCATTTCAATATTTTTTTAGAATATAAAAAGATTTAACCAGCATTTAAAATTTCTGATTCTATTGAATACTTTGTAATCCTGAAATAATGCTTTCATTTCAATATTTTTTTAGAATATAAAAAGATTTAACCAGCATTTAAAATTTCTGATTCTATTGAATACTTTGTAATCCTGAAATAATGTTTTCATTTCAATATTTTTTTAGAATATAAAAAGATTTAACCAGCATTTAAAATTTCTGATTCTATTGAATACTTTGTAATCCTGAAATAATGCTTTCATTTCAATATTTTTTTAGAATATAAAAAGTATTATTATTATTATTATTATTATTATTATTATTATTATTATTATTATTATTAATTCATTAATTATTCGTACTTCAATTTTCCAACACTCCTTTTTGGTTCTGGGAACTTCCTTTTGGAATTCCTTGCCGCCATCAATAACAGCAGCTGAATCATTAGCAATATTCAAAACAAATTGTTATAAACACTTATTAGCTACTGAGCGTGCCGATCTCTAAGTGCGTATTTTTGGCTGAGTGCAATTTAGTTACTTGCTATCCTGTGCAATATGGTATAAGACTAGAAATAGACTGTTTTTGTTTCAGCATTCATTATTAATCTTAATTAATTAAATTTGTAAATCAGGGATAAAATTGACGTTGAGAGACCTGTTAATATTAACATTAATATTATAATAATCTATTCTGTTTGTTTAATAATGGTTTTTGAACACTTTTTGACTTTTACTTTGATATTATACTGATTTGTACTTAATTTTAAGATATCATGTATGCTTTGTGTATACTTTTGGCCGTTAGAGGACTATGTCCTACGGCCTCTTTCAATAAATTACAATTACAATTACAATTACGCTCGACATATCTTGCGCTACAGTTATTGGGATCATAACGCAACGGTAAGTTCTTATCAATATTTCTGGTATTAACCTCAATATTAGTATTTAAGATTAATTCTAAGCCAGCTGCGTCTAGACCATTAACATTCATAAACAAACAAGTTTCATTTTTGTTATTAACTTTGCTGATGTCAATGTTTGGAAGATTGATCAAGAACTCAATTGATCTTGGTGCTTTAGCATGACAAGCACTCATCAATGGTGTCGTTATCCATCCTTCACTTGGCTCAGTCACTACTATTTAAATTGGCATCACCTCCAAGCTCAATTAACAACTGCAAGAATTCCGGTCGGCTTTTAATACTAGCAGCAAGACACAATGGCGAAAAAGCATATCGTGATATTTAGTGAGACATTAATTTTAGCACCGTGACGGATCAATAATTTTATCATGTCAGGTCTTAGATTATTTATGGCTCGAACCAATGGTAAATCTTCGTCCGGTCCATAATAATGATTGACATCCGCCCCAGCAGCTAACAATTTTTGGACACTCGTCATTCTGCAGCCCTCTACTGCAAACTGCAATGGCGGTGGGACACTTGTTGTCGTTGCTTTGAGATTGACTTTTCGAGCCAATAATTCATCCACCATTGCTTGATCATCCAAGCCTATGCTGACGTGGAGTATTGTCAAGCTCTGGCCATTACTCACATCTGAATCATTATAAGCGAATCTAGGTTCAAATTCTTTCCAACTAAACGTGAAATAGCATTCTTACTTTACTTCCCTCGGTGTGTAATATACTATTTTAACAAATAAATTATGGCAACAACAAGTAGAAAAAAAATTTGACATGTAAAAATTTTAAAAAATAAAAAATGCAATTTTTTTTAAATAATTTTTTGGAAAAAATCTATTTGTTAAAAAAAATTAAAAAATGATTAAGTAACTGCTAACTATTGAAAATTTTTTTTTATCTTTTTTTATCAAGGAAAAAAAAACTTTCTATTGCTGACTCCAATATATATTTTCCCACGGTAACTGTCATTAAAATACAAAAAATAAAACATAAAGAATTATATTAACAAAAGTAAAATAAAAGTATATATTTATAATCGCAATAATTATTATTATTTTATTAGTTATGTTAACAAAATCTTTATATTGTCGTAGTTACATAATATAGTAATTTTTTTTTTACTAACCCAATTAAAAATTGGCGCGCGGAGGTCGCCATTGTTCCCCTAGATTTTTTCGCGGAAGAAACACCAAAAGAAATTTATACATGTAACTAGACGAAGAAAAATAAATGCCGGTATAAGATTGTCATTAAGCGCCACAATTATTAATATATAACTTAACCCGTTATGACGCAACAATAAATACGTAAGTAGCAAGGTTATGTTATTTAATAAGCATTGTTAACAATTGTTTAAATAAAAGCAATAATTACAGGATATTAAGAAAATTTTATTTACTGACAACAGCGAAAATCGTTGACTAAAAAAATGACGACGCATCTAGTGGAGATGGAAAATTTTATAACTGGTGACTTAACTCAAAAGGATCAAGTATCTGATTTTGGTAAAGATAACATTAATTGTACACATCATAAATCACATCGCTTATTCTTAATATTTATAAATTAAATAATTTTTATTTGTATATTTTTTTTAATCACAGTAGTAGATACCCGACATTTTTATTTGAAGCTGATGTAATATTGACAAAAAAATTTTTGAAAAATTTCTGCAGATTCATTTTTGCAAATAAGAAAAATTCTTTTTGGTATCTATTACTTCTAAGTTACTTTCTGATAACTTATTTCTACTTGGTTAACCGTTTATATAATTTTATTTTAGTTTCGCAAAAGCCGGATGACAATTCAATTATTGAACAAAAAGTTTCAATAAGTAAAATGAAGAAGGAGATTGATTGTCCTTCAGAAATTGCAACCCAGAAAATGGAAATGTTGAAGGATTGTATGGCTTTAAATCGCATTACAATAAGAAGCATCCAAACATTAAATGCTGGGGATTTTAATTTAGCTCATCGAAGTTTTCAAAGCCTCGTTTCATCTACTAGTGCTAGTACGAATAGTACTCTTACTACTTCTAGTGATGATACTTTGTTGCCAGAAGAAAGTAAAGATGAAATAGAAATGCAAGAAAATCTGAGTATTAAAACTGAAAAAAAAAATTTTAAAAAAGAAGACAGAGAAGATGTTAATGATAATAATTTAAATCCTGATTCCCATTCCGGCAAAGAGCTGTTTGTTGTAGTTTTAAATGATGGTACTGGAACGGCAGTTGTACAAGTTAGTGATGAAGATGGTATGTATAAATTTTATTGACTATCGTTATAAATTATTTAACTTGTTGTATTTAATTGGTGACTTCTTTTTGTAGCTAAAAAACATCAAACTAATTGTGAAAACTCTTTACATGAAGATGATGATTTAGAAAATTTGTTTGAGCCAGATGATGTTAAAAATATCTGTGACTTGGAAGAATTAAGAAAAAGTCGTTCCGTAACAAAAAAACCTAAAGATGAATTATGGAAACCGCCAGCTCAGATTATCAGAGCTGAAAAAAGATTGAAAGAAAATAACGAATCAAAATCATTTCGTAAGTTTTTTTTTTTTATTTTTCTATGTTTAAAATTAAATAATTTTTCAATGAAATAATTTTGAAATTTTTCACAGAAGAACAAAAAAATTATTCTTCCAAGAATAGTTGTAATTGTAAAGAATGTGATCGTGAATTCGATTACTCCTCGGCAGTAAATTTGCACATCCGAAAACATACTGGTGAGCGTTTTTACAAGTGTCCTAGATGCAATTTTTCGAGTTTTTATTTGGCAAGTATTAAAAATCATATACGTTCGCACACTGGAGCTAAGCCATTTAAATGTTATACTTGCCGAGCGAAATTCCCTACTTCTCAAGCTCTTTTGAAACACAAGTATAACTGTCATTTGTTATCACCGAAAACTGATAATCTGAGATGCAGATTCTGCAAAGAAATATTTGAAGATAAAGCTACGTGGAAAAAACATGTCGATAGCCATAGAGTTGGAGATTTTTACGCATGTAGTATTTGCAATTATCAAAAGAAAAATTCTAGCTCGCTGGAAAGCCACATGAATAAACATGCCAACAAAGAATTGTTTATTTGCAACGAATGCGGAAAATCATTTGAACAAAAGGGGCTGCTGAAAGAGCATTGGGGTTTTTATCATATTTCATTATTACGAAAAAAAACATACAAATGTACCATGTGTTCGTACAATTTCGTACACTTTGAGTGTCTTTGCCGTCATACTAAAATGGTTCATCTTAAAACTACTCCAAAGCGAAAATAAAATAAAGGAGAGTTTAATTTATGACTAAGTTTTCATGTTGAGATTAGCGTTTTCTTTAGATCTTTATTTTTTTTTTTTTAATTATATAAATACTTACTTTATTACTTTACTACTTTGTATGCTTTTTTACGAAATATCGTGCTTATCAATAGTTACCCGCGTTAGAAAAATTAAGGAACATAAAAAAACAGATTGGTTAATAGAATATATATCCACCAAAAAGTTTACAATTATCTTTAGCCTTTTCTTTTCAACAAAATGCTTAAACATTTGTAATATTTATTTACATTTCTGTCTAAATTTTTTTAATTTACGATTTGCGTGTTTTTATCATTAGAATAGTTTACTAATTTAAAGTATAAATATTGATTTCCGTGCTGAGGAAAAAAAAATTACCAAGAATATATGAAAGATTATTTTTTTTTTTTAATTGTTTAAAAGAACATTTAAAATCAACCCTCTTTATTGTATTTTTTCTATCATATTCACAAAAAAATTTTTGTTTAAAAAAGTCATTGTTTAATTATCGGCTTCAATATTATTGTATTCAAATTTTTGTATCAGCGTTTTCTTGTATTTTTGTATTAACAGATAATAAATAATTAAAACTATTTTACGTAGTTCTTTATTCGTTTGAATTTTGGCGCCAGGGTATAAGGAGTCGGCCATGTTTAAAACTTTGTTCGGCTTTTAGAAAGAAGCTCTAGAAATGTAAACAGTACCTTGTATGTACGTACTATCTTGTTGTAAGTATTATTATTAAATAATAGCAGTTTAGGACATTAATTTATAAAAATCAAGGAAAAGTTATTTAACTATCCATCTATTAATTAATAACTAATTATTATTTATATTAAATAGGGAAAAGGAGCAGGTCAATTTTAAGTATATTTTTTTACAACATAAAATGCTTTGATTCAAATCACTTGCAATAATTAAAAAAAATTTACAAAATGAGTTCACATGAAGAAATTATAATTAGTGACGACGATGCTGATATTGAGGATGTTGAAGGTAATTTTCACCCTTCATTATTTAATAATAACTTGTTTCGAATGAAACCTTTGGCTCCGTGATTCTAACGACTGTAGACATCCCAATCTTCAGACTCACCATCGAATACCAATATGTGAGTCGACGTCCAGTAAATCAAATCCATAGTTTCCAGTTTCTACACGGGAAAAACTACTCTTTAAAATTGACTTGTGTAAAATTTACAAAACTCAAATGCTATTTTTACAAGACAAATTCTGTGGTTCTAAATCTGTAAATTCTATCTATATATTAAGTCATCCGTAATTTTGGAGAATTTTTTCGATAATTCTGGCAGAACGTTTTTTATTACTGAAAATTTATTGTAATTAATTATATTAAAAAATGCTACTGGGGTCAGCATCTTTACAAATTAATTTATAAACTTTTTGAATTTTTTTACTAAATTTTAATTTTTCTGGTTTTTTACAGTGTACTTCTAGACAAATTATTTTTTTATAATCAAAAAAATTATTCATTCACACATAATAAAAAATTTGAAATTTTAACGGATCATTATTTGCATTTATTTATTGATGATTAAATTTAATTTTAATTCAAGGAGTTATTTAGCAACAATAATACAATATTCTTGTAAACTTTACAAAATTGGTTGATAAATTTTACATAATCTCTTCTTTTAAAATTACATGATTTTTTTGTAAATTTTATACACTTGTTTTTCTGTGTAGATCTCCATCTACTTTGAACGTTCCTGTAATAATATCACATTAAATTTTTACACCTGATTTACATTAAAATTGAAAGAAATTCCTACAATTAATTACTTACAAAAACAATGTACATAAGTTTTTTTTGATCTTTTTGTTTTACAGATATCAATCAAAACCTCTCAAAAGGTTTGAGTTCTCGTTCTAAATTTAATTTAGAAAATTCAAATACGGCATTATTCAATAAGTATATTAATATAAGTCATGAAACTTTAAAAGTCAATCATTTAGCAATGCAAGGTAATCTCATTGCTATGCAGAATAGTCATTTAGCGATGAAGAATTTACAAGACTTGACCGAGTCTATTTTGAAACAAATAAATTTCAACTCAATTAATTTGAAAGATAAAGCAAAGTCTGAAGTGAGTACCTCCAAAGACAAGCCAGTAATTGAAGATGAAATACCAAATTCATCACCAACAAAAACCGGAATCAAACTCTTGATTAAAGATAATAAACGATTGATTGGTAAAAAGTTACCGTGTATAATCAAAAGGCTACCTAAAAATTTTCAGTTACAAGCAAAAACAGATCGGAAATCCGAAAAGGAATTTCAGTGTAGCCACTGTCCGTCGAAATTCAAACTGAATTTTTCGTTGATTCGTCATATGTCATCATTTCATGGATCCAAAGAAATGAATGACAGACCTATCATAAAAGTAATAAAAATAAATAAAAATAAATCAGTCATGCTATAATTTTGACAAAATAATTTTTTTACAGGAGCCTAAATTTAATTTTCCAGCAGTTCGTAACGATAAAAATAAAGCTAACAATGAGAACAATAATAATAATAATAATAATGACGATGATGATATTTGTGCCATTAATGCTAAACATAAAAATGATGACGTGACTCCACCAAATCAACATAAAAAAAATGGTATATAATATTTGATTTATTAATTATTGAGCTAAAAATATTTATTAACTTAAAAACTTATTGTTTGATTTTTATTGTTTTAGTTGATAAAAAATGCAGAGTGACTTTGTCTCGAATTTCGTGTGTAAATAAAGACAAACAACGTCAAATAGCAAATAAAGCTCTATTGCTAAAAAGAAAAATAACTCAAAATATAAAAAAATCAACAGAGTCAACAGAAGGTCTAAATTTATTGAATTCTTCTATCAATAAAAATATTCGCTTCCTTACTCGAGACGTAACTCATGACGATTTACGCGGGAGAAAAAATGAACAACCTAATCTACTGGGCTATGTCAATACGCTATATGTTAACAAACCAATGCGATTGCATTAAATATTACATCAAATTGAATGATTATTGTTGAAACTAGTTTAATAATTACTACTAACTGATATTAATTGGTTTCATAAATAATTGTTTAATTGTAATTCTGTTTATTTAGATTTATTAAAATAATTATTTCATCTGCTTTTTATTGAAAAAAAAATCATATTTGATGATTATAAATAACAATTGTTGAAATAATGAAACTCTTTTGTACTATTTCATTATAATTTTTTTATTCTTTAAATAATCATTGAAAAAAAATCATATTTGATGACGATAAATAACAATTGTTGAAATAATAAAACTTTTCTGTATTATTTCATTATTATTTTTTTAATTTTTAAATAATTATTGAAACAAATCATATTTGAAGATTATAATGACAATTGTTAAAATATAATAAAACTCTTCTGTACTATTTCATTATTATTTTTTTATTTTTTAAATAATTATTGAAAAAAAAATCATATTTGATGATTATAAATAACAATTGTTGAAATAATAAAACTCTTCTGTACTATTTCATTATTTATTTTTTTTATTTTTTAAATAATAACTTGTCTTTATTGTTATGCATTTAAAATTCAAAATTCGCGCTATTAAAGATGTCGGGCTTATGCAATGCCTGACAAAAAACTAAAGCTTGTTTTGTTACGCTCAGTAAGTATATATAACTCACAAGATCAAGCGATTAAAGTATATCAAATGATCAATGTCACAGATTAATATTACTGTGGAATATTCCACACGATAAGGATTTAATTTTATTGAATTATAAATTATTTATGGTGATTAAATACACGAATAAATCTTTTGAAATAGATAAAATATACTTCAGGTAAATAGGTTATGTTATAGGAAAAAAGTATTTATTTATACATATTTTTAAATAAAAAATTTGATTGTTTAATTTATTTTTTAAAGGATTCATGGTCTCAAGAATTTTTTTTAAATAATTTTCCGGTTAAAATTATTAAAAATTTTTAAAAATGTATCCCAGTGAAATCATCGTGATTAGTGATGATGACGATGAGTCGGTGGTAGAAATGATTCAAAACACATCAGGTACAAATTATTTATTTATAATTACGAACAAGTTTTTTAAAGTCTTCTTTATTTTCAGCATGTGATTCAAAATGCAACTCTAGTAAAACAAACACAAGCATTGTAACCCCAGTAATTACTAGTGGCTTTAAGAATGTCAAAAATGAATTAAATGAGCTTGTGGATGATGATAGGTTTGGTAATAACGATGATGAGAATTATAATTTTTTGATGCAAGAGTTGTCAGATCTTATAAATTCATATAAATCCAATTCAGTTAATCAAGATTCTTTGATAGTTCCTGAGATATCTGACGAAAATGTTGACGAGAGTACTCAGAATAATATTATGGGTAAAGAAAAGCATATACAGATAGTGAGCGTAGAGTCATTAAACCATCGAATAAACCAATGGATGGATACCAGTATGGAAGAAGAATTTGTTCCGCCCGTTGATTATCAAGAACAAAAAGTATTTGAGGGAGGTTTTAATAATGTTGTAGCTAACAATCATCAGGACGAATTGTTAGAATTGAATTATGATAATTCAGAGAGTTTATTACAAAGTCAAAATGATCCGTGGATGAAAACTCCGATGAACAAATTAGAACTTAAAGTTTTAAACAAATATCTTCCTATGGTCCAGTTAACTAAGATTTCTTTATCGAAAAATAGTATTAATTTAAAGAATTTTATCAAAGAAGAGTTGCAAATTGATGCTAATGTTAATGGCCCTGATTTAAAACCATTAATTCATCAAAATATGGTGAATGTAAAACAGGAAGTAGGCTCAGAATTAAATTCAGTAAATGATGTTAATCAAGGATTATTTATCTGCAAGACTTGTATTATAACATTTAATTCAAGAGGTAAGTTTAAATTTTTAATTACAAACTTCAAAATACTCGGTTATATTATTTATTACACTGATAAAAAAATTAACTTGACTCGAGAGCCAAAATCTTGAACCAAGAATACCATTTTGAAGAAAATAATTTTCTTGAGTTAAGAGAATAAATTTTTGAGACAAGAAAAATTTACTCAAATCAAAAATTTATTCTCTTGATTCAATAAAATCATTTTCTTAAGAATGGTATTCTTGGTTCAAGATTTTGCCTTTTGTGTCAAGTTAACTCTTGATTCAATAAAATCATTTTCTTAAGAATGGTATTCTTGGTTCAAGATTTTGCCTTTTGTGTCAAGTTAATTTTTTTATCAGTGTAGTACATCTCGTACTCAAACTATTAATTCACGTTTCAGATTCATTCGAAGAACATATTGAATATTATCACCCTGGCAATAAAATTTACAAGTGTGATGATTGTCATTATGCCACTGACACACATATGTCAATGCAAACTCATCGATGGACACATATCAAGGAACGTCCGTTTCGATGTCGTCTTTGTAATTATGGATCTAAGTTACAACAACATCTTAAAATGCATATCCGAAGAATTCATACAAATGAACGGCCTTTCGTGTGTCCACACGTACCATGTATGTTTGCGGGGGCATATTCTCAAGATTTAAAAAACCATATAAAAAATAAACATTCCAAGAATGATAAAACTGTTTCGCTAGATAGTCTCAGAAATAACCGATCTCGCTCCCATACACACTTAGAAAGCGATTCCTCGAGTGTTAATTTGAAAGACATGAAAACTAAAATTAATTCTATTAATCCTACTGAACAAATGTACCCGTGTACGCATTGCACATTTTCAACACCATGTACAAATGAATTGAAAGTTCATTTAAGTAAACACGAAACTGAAAGTTCAGAAAATTTTAAGTGTGATGCTTGTGGTAAAAGATTCATCAATAAGGATCAGCACATTCGAAATTATCACACATTATTTCCTTCAAATAAAGAAATAAAATGTTCATTTTGTGAGGAAACTTTTACTAATAATTATAACATGAAGGTGCATCTTAAAACTCATGTTAATAAAGACTTAAAAAAATGTGGCATATGTCTTTACATTACTTCTAGTAAAAAAAAGTTTCGAATACACATGAGTGATCATAGAAAAAATAAATTATTTACTTGTAATAATTGCAGTAAATCATTTCGAAGCAAAAACTTATGTAGCGAACATCGAATAAATTTTCATTACTTGATTAATAATTTTTAAGACCCAAGGTCTTTAATTATCTTCAAAAAATTGTAGTGCTAAGCTGCTCTTAATTACGATTTTCTTTCTTTATTACGTACTTTCAGAAAAAAATTATTTTATTTAACTAAGTATTAATGAAGTGTTATGGAGTAAAATTTTTATTGGATTGTTAGATTCAAGTATAAGCATCAAATATCTATTTAATATTAAAAAAAAATTGAAATTTGTTTGTTTTTCGGATAAAGCCGTAACTATGTTTAGTTTTGGTTCAATTTGATATATGTATAAGTTTTTTTGATAAACAAGATAATTAAAAATGTATAAATAATAAGCAATGGCTGTATGTCTTCTAAGACAAAAAAATTTTTCGACATAGTCATGTTAGTTGACTAATATTTAAATGTTAGATGATTGTTAATAATATTTAAAAATTTACTACGCGATTCAAAAATAATTTCTTCTTACATTTTATGGGATTTATTGATTTGAAATTCCATTTTAAAAAGCTTTTGTCAACAATGTTGTATGAATATTTATCCGAGTTTTATTATTAAAAAATTATTCCTTTATTGATGCTTGCTTGTAAACATTCGTGTGTGCTATATTCAAAATAACTATTATATTATTTTACTACTTACATTATAATTTTTATAAAAAATTAATCGTTCATTGTGAAACTAATAAATGCATTCAAAAAATCTACAAAAAATTCTTTAATCACATTTATTTTGATAGAATAATCATAGAAATTATATATATATTATTTATAATTTATAACAATTAAATTTTTAAGTTTTTATTTATAACGACAAGTAGTTACATTTATATTATACCAGTAGTTGAACAGGTTTCAAAGTAAACCGTATTTGACCCTATTTTTAATATACAAAGAAGTAATTATTAGTTCAAATTAGTTATTATTCTGAAAATATAAAGTTTTAAATTGATTGAAGCGCAAAATAACGCAGATAATTGAATATTTATATCTTGACAAGGTTTTTAAGATATGACTATGAAGTTTAAGACTATTAAAGGAGTAATAATTGAACAATCAATTCTGACAAGCTGCAGTAGTTGAACTAATAAAATATACGGCAATAAGCATAGCAAAAATTTTCAACGTTTTAATGAAATATCAAAAGAATAATAACATATTCTTGATTAATATTAAAAATGCTATGAGTATTTTATATGTTCATTTAAAAATAAAAAATATTTGTATTGAATTTTTTATGAATGACAAAGTAAATTTTCAATTATAAATAAAAAAAACTCAATTCAAAACGTTCAATAATTTTTAGCTATAAAACTTCAATTTGCAGTAATTATTACAAATCACAATGCTGATCACTAGTCTATAAATCTATTAGAGATTAGAGTGCGTTTAAAATTATACGCTTTGAAAATTTGGAGGTGTAGTTGGACGCTAAAATTTAATATAAAAATTATAGTTTATGTCTTTGCAAAAAATATGTATTATTTAAAAAAGACTATTTAATTGGGTGGTACAATTTTTTTTACTTAAAATGATAATATACCGTTTTTTTTTTTTTTTTTTACTGATTGTTCGGCTTACAGTTTAGTATCTTTTTCATGAAAAAAATAGCATCTATCGGCTATTCTCGACATGTTAACTTTTAAGTTAACAAAAGTATAATTGTTTCAATTTATAATTGAAAAAACTTACTGAAATTAATTACTGTACCATTGAATAATTATAACATGCGCATATTACTCATAATAAATATACGGGGATTTTTTATTACAAAAATTCGAAAAGTGTGTTTAAGTAGTGGTGCCATTTTTATAAGTGTTTTTGTACTCGGTACTTTACCTTATCCTAAGCGTCACCTAAAAAACTGTTGACTTTTTGGTAAATTTTATTTAACAAGAAGTCAAAAATTAATAATTGTCAACTTAAATTCAACAAAATGTTACCAAAAAAAATTTTGTGCCGCTTGAGATCTAAGTGCAAATTTAAAAATCGCGCTCTAAAAAATACCAAGAACGTTTCCGGTACAAAATAACCAGACATCTTGTTTCATTGTTTTATTAAATTTGTTAAAGATACTTAGTCGCTCAGAGCAATATTAATTAATAATTAATAAGATTAATTTTAATTTGAAATGTTTAGTACTATATTAACGATAGTTGTATAAAAACTAATGAATCTAATTGAATAAAAAATGATTAACGGCAAATAAAAATAAATCATCTGTTGAACAGATAATATAAAATATTTCTATGGTAACTAGTAACTAGGCTATAGTTTTGTGAAAAACGTGCCTTTATATTTATTTATTAATAAATAAATTTATTTTAGTGATGATAATTTTCTTTTTTTAAATAGGACTAGAAATCAAATTCTTAATCTAAAAGTCAAGATTTTTTATCCAGAGAAAATGTATTCCGGAGAGGTCATACTTGTTAGTGATGAGGATTCTGAGGTAGAAGTTTTAAATAACACATCATCAGGTAAAAATTTTATTATTTGTCTTAAAAAATTCAACGTTTTTAATCACCATTATCAATTTCAATAGCTAATAAAAATTTAAACGCCAATATAACTACAAGATCGCAGATTATTTTTAATAGCTCCAAAAGCATCAACAAAGAATCATATAAGCTTAAGACTAATGATGATGATAAGTTCGTGAGTGATGATGATTATCATAATCGTTTGATGCAAGAATTATCAAATGTTTTGGCTTTGAGTAATTTCAATTTTGACCATCAAAATTCTTGTCCCAGTACTCCGGACACTGACGTCCCTGAACCGAGTTATAAAAATATTTTTGTCTCTGAAGATAATCAGAGTAATGATTTAAAGGATGGGAATCATATACAGATTTTAAAAGTGGAATCATTAAGTAAATGGGAAGGACAATATACAGACAATCAATCGGAACATTTCTTTCTACCGGTCGACGATGAAAGTAGTGGAAAAAAATTGAAAGAAAAAAATCAAACAACTAGGCATGAGCTGGATATTTTAAATAAATATCTTCCTGTTGTTCAGCTTAAAAAAGTTTCGCTGCCTGATAACAATATTCATTCAGAAAATTTTAATAAAAAGCAGTTACAAATTGACAATACTAATGCAAATAACGTAATGAATGAAAAAGTTGCTGTAGAAATGTCCCACGCTAATAATGATGATCAAAAAGTTTTTGAATTTGAATGCAAAACTTGTCATAAAACATTCCATTCGAACGGTACCTTTTAAATTTTTATCACATAACTTATCAAATAATTATGAAATTAAAGTTAGCAGTCACGATCATTCTTTAATTTTATTTAAGAAACAAATTTGTTCCGAAAAATTATTTTTTAAAAAATTGCATTTTTAGTTTTTTTTTTTTTTTTAATTTCTACATGCCAATTTTTTTTTCTCTTGTTTTTGACATAATTTATTTGTTACAAAAATCTGATGAATAAATTTTCATCAAATAATTTTACAATGAGAACTACTGATGGATAATTTTATAATTATTGAATGTCTGGTAATAATATTTTGTACTTAATTAAAAAAATTTTTTTTAGATTTACTCAGTGAACATATTAAGTATCATATAAAGAAAATTCATACAAAGAAGACGCCCTTCGTGTTCTCACATCCTCCGTATACTTTCGCTGGTGCAACTTCTCGAGATGTAAAAAGACTCTCCAAAAAGGAACGTATCAAAAATAAGTACTATAAATGCACTTTTTGTAATTTTAAGACTGTTACTTTACGTTGTTTTAATAATCATTTACGTCGCTTTCATAATGATAAAGCTCCATACACCTGTACGGAATGTAGTTACAGTAGTACTAATTTAAGAGCGTTGAATATTCATATAAATCATCACTTTGCCAAAGAAACTTATCGTTGCTCTCAATGTACGTACTCTACTGCATGTAGTAATGAACTTCTATCTCACATTGAAATTCACAAAAGTAAAGAATATAGATGTAATATTTGTAGAACGTTATTTTCAAAACAAGAAAATTTTAGTAAGCATAAACTCGACAATCACACAGTATTCCCGTTCAATCAAACAGCTAAGTGTGAATTTTGCGAAGATCAATTTACAAATAAATATAATAAAAAGTTGCATCTGATGACTCATGAGAATAAAAAATTTCGTAAATGCAATCGATGTATTTACATGACACTGTCTGTAAAACAATTTAAAAAACATATGGATAAGCATAAATTTAATAGATTATTTATTTGTAATGATTGTAGCAAGTCTTTTCCACTTAAGAAGTTGCTGGTACAACATAGGTCGAATTTTCATTACGAGATTGATAATTAAAATTTACGTTATCTAATTTATATTAACGTAAATAGTTTTTGTTTTTTATTTTTTTAAATATAATCTATACTTAGGAACTTCATTTTGACTATTGAATTATTAAATATTACCAGTCGATTATATTTTTTCACGATAAAAAAATTTTTTATCGTAACGTTTATAGTAAATTAATTTAAAATACCATTCTTCCTTTTTTTTTTTTTATTTTTTATTTTTTATTTTTTTTTTTTTATTTTATTAATATTTTGTATTTACTTTTCAATTAATTAATAAACAAATAATTGAATAATAAATTTATTCATTATTATGGGAATCCTTTTGACAATACTTCAATAAAAATATTTTTTGTACGGATACAATCATAAATGTCATAATTTTTTCCTTTTGATGATACGATTGATATTGACGTACTCCAATTGAAACTTACTGGTTTTTATTCATTTCATGCACGAGCTTATACATATACATACGTATATTATTGAGTAGTTGGGGACGGCGAGAAGGGGATGTCTTTGATTGCATGTCTGCGCACCCCATGTAAAAAACTAGGCAGCTGACTGCTGGTCCAGTCTTTCAGTACTCAGTATCCATGGTTTGCAGTGTCTATAAAACATATTCCTGTATTGTGTACTCACTTCAGTTCAAACACAGATGGAAATCATGATAAAATCAATAAAATCTGTGATTGGGATTTAATTTGGCAACAAGTTTTCCTAAAGATAAAAAAATTCAACAGGATTCTATCGATAAATAGAAAAAATTACAAGGTGAGTATTTAATTGAGTAAAATATTCTTAATGTAATTTTGGGAATAATTTAACTTGTATTTTTTAAGAATTAAAGTGTGCATGCATAAAAATAATTTATTGATAATATTTACATTAATTTAATTGAAAAAAAAAAAATTTTTTTTAATTTTTTATTGTTAAGTATGTTTTAATAAAAAATTATATATTTTTTTGCAGAATCAAAATGTTCACATTAGTTGATGATATGATGAAATATCCTTGTGATGGAATAGAAAACGTTATTAAAATATCCAATTTCAATAATAATGGAATCAATATGAACTACGATTACACGGAGCATATAAACAGTGCAACAGATACTCAGTTCCAACCACCATCAAATACCGAACCGACATTAACAGAAAATATTAATTATATCTCAACATCATATGAACTTTTGGGTTCACAAAATGACGCTTATCTCAACTCATATCAAACTCAACCGGTCCAAAATTTAATATCTATAGAACAAAATGAACAAAATATCATACCTATTATTCCTGAGTTTTCTTATCCAAATGTAAATCTTATGCCGACTATTCCGATCAACGATTATGCACTGGTTCCTTGTTATTATTTGGTGGTACCTGAAGATGGTCTTGTTGCGCCACCCATTATCCCAGTGAACACTATTCCAGAACAAGTTCCAGTAAGATTTGAAGACCGCAGTAACTTTGTGATGGTAAACGTAGACAATGAGTTGGAAAAAACCAATGGTAATTTTATTTATCTTAATAATGTAGTCGCTTCAAATGCCCAGAATTTGTTAAGTCAAGAAAATGAAGTAATTGATACTTGCCAGACTTCTGTCGCTGATTTTCCAAGTTGTGAATTGCCAACAGACTCAGTAGACAAATCAGTATCTTTAGAATCTTCATTAAACGTAACTAGATGAATGAATTATTTTTATTAAAATAATTTAAAACAGTTAATATAATATATTTATTTTATTTATACTTCTCTTTTTACAGATAGAAGACCAGGAGACACCTGATGCTTTTATTTCTTCTCATCCTGAATCTGGAAGTCAATCCCAGGCAACAGAAAAATCCCATCCATGTAAAATTTGTAAAAGAAAATTCAACAGTTTAAATCAATTAGAAATTCATATGGGAATTCACGACGTTGGAGATAAATTATTTAATTGCTCTGTATGCCACGTCAATTTCCATCAGTTTCATCTTTTAAAACGGCACATGCGGATTCACAAAAGCACCGAAACATTTACATGTGAAATTTGTTCAACAAAGTTTGAGTGGGCTGAGTTTTTGGAACAACACAAAAAGCGTTGTAATGATGCTAAAAAGCCATATCATGTGTGCAGTGTTTGCCAAATGAAACTCAGCAGTCTTTTGAAACTAAAACAGCACATGCGTACTCATAAGGAGAAGCAGACACATGAATGCAGCGTTTGTAAGAAGAAATTCATCTGGCCGTCACTACTAAACGTTCATATGCGTATCCACACCGGTGATAAAAGATATGAGTGCGATATTTGCCATGTGAAGTTTACTGCGGCTTGTAACATGAAGAAGCACAAGCTTACGCATACAGGCGAGAAACCCTTTCAGTGTGACATTTGTCAGGCAAAATTTACTCGATCAATTAGTCTCACTCAGCATAAAGCAACCCATACAAGCAGAACTGAAGAGTGTGAGATTTGTAAGTCGAAATTTAGAGGACCCTGGAATCTAAAGCGACACATGCGGATTCATACTGACGAAAAACCTTTCAAGTGCGATGAATGCCAATCGACATTCTCTCAAAAATTCTACTTATCCAAACACATCCGTCTCCATTACAACAAAAAAACTTACGAGTGTGATTATTGTAAGATGAAATTATCTCAAAAATATTGCTTGATTCGTCACATGAAGATTCACGCCGGTAGTAGCGCGTACAAATGCGATGAGTGCCACAAAAAATTCCATTCCATACGAGGTTTAAGTCATCACAAAAGCGTCCATACCGGAGAAGTCCCATTTGAATGTGATGTCTGTAAGAAAAAGTTTTTGAAGTTAAAGCACTTGCTCAAACATGAAAATATTCATAAAACGAAAAAAATGTACCACTGTGATATTTGTAACGCCGGATTTAACCAAGTCGGTCATGTTGCGGTCCACAAAATAAGACATCATGAATCTCAACCGTCTCAAGATTTTAAATGTAAATTTTGTGATGAATCTTTCAAGAGTAGTTACTTCTTGAAGCTTCACCTTAAAAATCATAAGAATGAAAAATATTTTTACTGTAACATTTGCTTGTATAAGACAAGATGGCCTATTTCAATTAAAGTTCATACTCAAAATCACTCAAAACCAGGGTTGTATATTTGTTACGAGTGTGGAAGATCATCTAAAAGAAAAATTTTGTTACTACAGCACAGGAAGAAGTTTCATAGTTCTTAATTTTAAATATAAAACATATCCGTGCTTTTAAAGTTAATCAAAATTTAAAAACTAAACTATAGTCTGAATATAAATCGAAAGTTAAATTCAAAATAATTGTGGACTAATTGTTTTAATTGATAGAAAATTATTTTTTAATAAAATAAAATTACTTTTATAAAAATTATGTTAAAAATTAAAAAATTACTAGATTTTATTTTAAATAATTTTTAATACAAAAAATGAGAAATAAATTTAATTTAATAAAATAGTATTTATTAATGTAAAAAATGTGAAATTTATGCATACATTATTGTGTGAAATAATTTGTGTAATAAATAATAAAAAAAAAGTCTCTGAGTTGGATCAAACAGAATATTTTATCGTCCAAATTGTTACAAGTTTTTACAATTCAATATTTTTTGTAAATCAGAAAATTTATTATTGATAAAATCACACACGCAATTTCATTTATTGCATATTAAGAAAATTTTATTTGAATATTGAACCTTTTCAGTTATTTATTGTGACGAATTATCTTCTAGAAGAAAAAGATCTAGTTTAGATTCTATCTGACTCTGAAGCATAAGAATCTGAAAAAACAGTCAAAAGTATGAAAAATTCGTGGTCAATCATTTGATTTCGCAAGTAAGTATTTTTTAACTTTGAAACCATTAAATATAATTTATCATAGTAATAAATTTATTTTAAATCATCGTTGAAGAATATCAATATTTATTCAAGACGGTAAATAATTAAAATTAAATTTAATTTAATTATATTGAGTGAATAGAATAGTTTTACAGTGAGAATTATGAAAAATTAATTCTAACTTAATAAATGAATTGTTATTTTTGCAGTTAAAATCAAAATATCGACTTTTAGACATTTAAATTTTCGCGCCATAACTTTGGCGCTTTGGCGCCATTCTTTTATTTTCCGTTTATTTATTTATTAATTTCTATCAAGATAGTTTAAAAAATAAAATGTTTTATTTACTTATCTATTTATTTATTTATTTAGAAAAATTTAATACTATAAATATTGATAATGAACTCTTATGTGCACTTTTTTTCCTGGAATTATTTGACCGTTAGATTTAACATTGTTCTCATCCCCTCTCTATGATTCTTAGAAGTAAAACACTGACTGAAGTTTGTCTTCATTTTGTGACGGTTTTATATCTTAAACAAAGGATTTATTTCATTGCAAGTAAAAAACTATCCGATGATGGAATCAGCTATTTTAAATACTAAAATATCAAGATTAGAAATATCTTTTTTCAAGTCTTTTGCTGGAGTTAATAAAATTTATCCTTTCGAATTATTAAACGGCGTTTATGGTTTAAATGGATCAGGTAAGAATATTATTTTTCATGAATGGTTTCTGGAAATTAATTTAGCAGAGATATTTGATAATTTTTTAAATTTATTTAAATGAATTATGGCAAAAAAAAAAATTGACATGTAGAAATTTTAAAAAATTAAAAATGCAATTTTTTAAAAATAATTTTTTTGGAATAAATTTATTTGTTTAAGAAAATTAAAAAATTGTCAAGTGACAGCTAAATTTAATGTCATGAATGGTTTATTCATTGAAATATATGCAAATTTTATGATACTGAAATTAACAGACATCTATCAATTTTTTGGATTTTTATAACTAAATTATTATGAAAACATTCCAGTAAAAAATTTCCACATCTTGAAATTTAAAAGAATTACAAGTTCAAATTTTTTCAAAATATTTTTTTTTATGATTGATTTGTAATAAAAATAAAAAAAATTTTCAGATGTTTACTGATTTGACTATTATAATTTTATCGAATTTTTTCTTATATTTTTAAGGTAAATCGAACTTTCTTGATGCTTTCGCTTTTTGTTTCAATGAAAATTTACGAAAATTACGAATTCGTAATGCTAAACAGCTTATTCATATTCATGCTGACGAATCAGAAAAGTAAGTTGCTTTTTAATATTTTTTACCTTAATTTACTTTACTTAAATAATAAACTTTTATTTAAAAACTTCAACAGGACATATGTAAAATGTACGTTTTCATTCGCGGACTTGACTGAAAAGTCATTTACCAAGGAGATTGTTGGTTCTTCATTCAATTATTCAATCGATGACCAAGTAAGGAATGTTTTCAAGTTTTGATTATGAGAATTGTATAAATTTTTTAATGCTTAACAGGAAGTAGAAGAAAAAACATACGTGCAAGAGTTGATAAATATTGGCATAAATATAAAGAATAATATTATCGTATATCAAGAAGACATTCAGGCAATCGCTTCTTTAAATGGAAAAAATTTAACAAATTTATTTGAAAGAGTTAGTGGCTCTATTTCTTTTCGCAGAGATTATCAAAGTTTGTTGAGCCAGGTAGAGCAAGCTAGACTCGATGGAAAGAAATCATTTAATAACAAAAAAGAGTTGCTCACTACTCAAAAACGCCTTAGAGATATATCAAAAACTAATAGAATTTCACATGGACTTCAAGAACACTATGTAACTTTAATTTCAATAACTTTAGTGTTGTTTTTTTTATTTTTGACTTCTATATCATTTAAATTTATTTATTTTTAGGAAAAGTATTTAAAAAAATTTATCCTTGCCAATTTGTATATTTTGGACGTAAATATAAAGACGGCAGAGAAAAACATACAAAAGCTGTTGAAAATAAAAGAAAAAAAAGAAAATAAGATCAAAGAACGAGAGCGAATTTTAAAGGAATTACAAAAGAATATTGAAAGTTCTGAAAAAAAAATTGAAAAATATGAGCTTCAAGCTTCAGTAAATTTTTCGAAAAAAACAACGGTTAGAGCTAACTTTGAAGAATTGAATGAACAGATTGTGAAAGATAAGAAAAAAATAGAATCTGCAAAAAAAAATCTTGAAAAAGCTCAAGAATTTGATGAGTCACGTGCAAAAGCAATAAAAGAGCTGGAGGATGCTTTGAAAATTGAAAATGAGAAGAAAAAAGAATATTTAGATGCGTCGAATCACGATCCAGATTATTGGGAAAAAATGGAACAACAGGTATATATTTTATTTTAATAAATTAACAATTGAAATCAAAACATTTTTTTTCTTTAAGGAAAATGAGTATCAGCGCTTAAAAACTATTGTTTCGGAGAAAAATGTGGCTATTATTCAAGCATTAGATATATTAGAATATAGACGCAGAGGATTTGATAATCAAATGGAAAATTTTCACCGTCAACTGAATGACCTTAATAACAAATTAGAAATGCAGATCAAATTACTTTCAAACAATGAGAGTGGACTAAAAGAAATTGTCAACAAGATAAAAGAAATTGAAAAGGAATCGGAAGAAGTTCGTCAAGATGTTAATAAATTAAAAATGGACACCGAAACATCAGAAAAACAACGAATAGAATTGATGACAAAGCTTGATGAAATTGATGAAAAAATACATTCTCTTAAATTAGATAAATCACAAATTCAGATAGCTAAATGGGAAGAAGAAACATTAGAATATTTGAAGAAAACCGTCAAAGGAGTGGTAAATATTGTGGATTATTAAATTTTATTTATTTGTTTATAGAGTAATCGCAAAAAATAAACCGGAAAAAGTTATGTAAAAATTCATATTATTTCATTAAAATTATTGTAAAATAAAAATATAATAATGATAATAATAATTTAATAAATCTGAAATAAAATAAATTTTTCATAACTTTAAAATTTTTCATAACTATAAAATTCATTTATAGAGTTTAATGCCAAGGCGGTAGCCGAATGGTAAAAGTATACATTTTAGTTACATTAAAGTACACGTAGTTTAATGAAAGAAATTTTTAAATTACTTTGCAATTTCATTCTGCATCTTTTTCTTTGTGTGGATTGTTGATTATTAATAGATATTATTATTATTAATAAATAGTATTTATTAAATATTAATAAATTTTCTACTTATTACAAATGATTATTTATAGTTCGGGCGTATGTATCAAGTCTGCGAGCCTATTCATAATCGTTATAAAATTCCAATGGCTAAAGTATTTGGTCATTTCTTCTCGGCTATCATAGTTGACACTAGAAAAACAGCTATGAAGTGCGTTGAGATTTTAGAGCAAAGTTGTCTGACATACGAAAAATTTCTTCCTCTTGATAGTCTTGATGCTCCTGTACTACAAGAGCGCTTGCGGTGGGTATCATTTTATTACTTAGATGAAAAAATGTTTATATTAAACTAAAACAAGTAATTTTATAATTGTTTTAAAATAATTTCAGTGATCCAAGTTTGTATGACAGTATAAATAATGTCAAGCTGTTGTATGACGTTTTACAATTCCCGACAGAAATAAGTCGTGCTGTTTTATTCGTCACTAAAAACACCCTTGTTTGTGAATTGTCAAAGGAAGCAAACCATGTCGCTTATGATTTGAAATCTAAAAATAAGCATAACTGTGTATCTTTAGATGGGACTTTTTACAAAACAAACGGATCATTTTCTGGTGGAAAGAGTTCAATTAGCAAAAGAGTTCAATTAATTGATTCTCAGATGTCTGAAAATTTGAAAACACGAAAAAAAGAAATCATGAACGCTATTAAAGAAGGGCAAAAATATTTAGACAATCAATCTGAATTAAAATCATTAGAATCAAAACAGAATAATCTTAATTGGAAAATAAAATATTTAAAAGATGCTTACAACAAAATGGTTTGTACTTTTTTTATTTTCAATAAATGTTCAATTCTATCATTTGATTTTGTTTGTAGGAATCCGAGTGTAATGAATTAAAGGAAAGTATTTCAAAATTAACTGATGAAAAGAAACATTTACAGGTATAAATTACTTTTTATAACAATAATAACTATTAATTGTATACAGTTGTTTCAATTAAAACTTTTATTTCAGCTTCAATGTGACGAAATACAAAAAGAATTGGATAAAGTTCATTTGGAATGTCAAGAGCTTCAAAATCAGAATGCTTCTATAGAAAATAAAATTTATCAAGACTTTTGTAAAAATCTTGGCATAAAATGTATCAGTGAATATTTAAATCAATCACGGTATGTTATAACAAACAGTACACTAATAAAAAAAATTAACTTGATTCAAAAAAAAAAAAAATTCTTGAATTGAAATAATCAAACTATTCAAAATCTTGTTGTTGGTTATAGATTTCTTCTCTTGAATCAGATTAATTTTTTTATTAGTGTTTATAAAATAGGTTTAAATTTATGAGCAATTAATTTTTTTAATTATAGACTTCAAGAAGAAAAAAAATCGAATTTACGCAAAATTAAAGAACAAATTGAACGAATCGAAAGTTGTATTGAGTATGAGTCTAATAAAAATACCTCAAACAATGTTAAAAGGTGGAGTGATGTTGTTAAAAATTTGGAAAATGATTTACTCGATAAGAAAACAACGATGAAAGGATTAGAAAAAGATTTACAAGCACTGGAAAAAGAAGAACAGTTAGATAAACAAAAATTAGATCCGTTGATTGAAGAGCTAAATATCAATGTCACTGAATTAAAAAAATTACGAGCTGATATTGAGAAAGATAAAAATAGTATTCCTCAATTATTATCCCAAATCCAAAACCCAAGTGAAAATGGTGCTACTTTAAAAGCAGATTTTCATGATTGGATTTTGAGAGCAAAGGTTTATATTTTACGTTTTTACTTTCATTAAAGAGTCTGTTAATTTAAATAACTAACTAATTGTATAAAATTTTAGAATGAGATGATTGAATTGCCGCTCTTAGAAAATGATATTTCTCTAAACGACCTTTACGAATTAATTGAGTCTGTGGAGCCTGAAGACTATGACTCTCAAAAGCTAGAAGAAATATACAACCTTGAACAAAATCTGTGTTTTAATTACGAATCTTTACTAGAAGATTCCGCAGATGGTGGTAATATCGATGAATTGCTGAAAGTTTATGAAGATGAACTTGCTAGCTTACGCCAGAAATTAATTGCAATGCCTACGAGTTCGACGGTTTGAATGTCTTTTATATTTTCATTCCTTTGGCGTCATAAATCATTTATAATTATGAATCTTTATTTATTTATATAGGTGGAATCTGAATTGGATGAAGTTAAAAAAAAAATAGATCAACTCAATAAAGAGCACAGGGAACATTTAAAAGAATTAAAGAAACTCACCAGTGAATTTGAAAAAGTGAAAAAATTAAGATATGATACATTCATGGAATCTTTTGAATCAATCAGAGAGAAACTAGGAGCAGTTTATAAAGTACATACTTCAGTTGATTTGATTTTTACTTATAATCTCTAATGTAATTTAATTATTTTTTAAATTTATTACAGAAAATAACAGGTCGTAACTCAGCTCAAGCATTTCTGCTTACAGTGAACCCGGAAGAACCATATTTAGATGAAATTAAATTTAAGTTTGTACCACCCAATAAGCAAAATCGTGGTCCCGTTGAGCCATCGGGAGGTGAAAAGACTCTTGCTGCTTTGTCTTTATTATTTTCCATTCATGGGTGAATATTTAAAAATTAAAAAAATTTTTTTTAGTTATTAAGTATTAGAATTAATAAATACTTGAAATTTATTGTTTCTTTTAGAGATCAACATGTCCCGATACTTTTATTGGATGAAATTGACGCTGATTTGGACAAAAAAAATGTAAATAACGTCATTAAGTACTTAAACGAAGCTAAAAAGGACCAACAAATTATTTTTATATCACACAATGATAGTGTAATAAAATGCGCGGACCGGGTTTCTGGTTTTTATGCTGCTACAGTAAGTTCTAAGAATTATGTTCAATTTACTCTTACGCAACTTATAAATAATTATATAATATATATTTCAGAAAAGTGATCATAGCAAACGCACTATATATGTGAGCCTTGATTTAAATAAATACAAAAACAATTAAGACAGTTTTTGGAATATTGAATGTCATGGTACTTACTTTCAATCATTAATCTTATTTTTTTCTTCTTATTAACTGTGTGGATAATTTCTGTATTTTTCCTATCCAATGGATCTTTTTTATATTCAACCTCATGTTTTATATTTTATAATTTTTTTATAATATAATTCAGATAAATATTTAAATTAAAAATTATTTCTTTATCATAAGTAATCTTATCTTATAACTTCCGTCGTTATATGTATAATTAAGTTAATATAAATAAGCTTAAACCAATTTTAAAACTAATTATTGTTTACTTATCAGAGGGCAAGTATTTATCAATAATATGTAACATGAAAAAATAAACAAATATCAAAAATTTTGTCAAATATTTATTTACAAGAGAAAAAAAATTACAAGAACCTCGTTAGAAATTAGATTTTATTATCAAGTTTCCAAACAATGAAAAAGTTTATTTTATCTCTACTCATATCGATTAAGCCAAACATGCGTTTTATTTAAAATAACATTAATAAAATTTATAAGTTTAAACCAGTCAATTTAGAGATTCGAGATCTTAAACTACCACCTCCCTTGACTATAATATAATACTCGGAATCACCTCCGTATTAATAATTAATTGTGCAATGCTGTAGTATCTAAACCAGGTTTGCCTTTTTGGATAATACCACCCAGTAGTTTTTTAATTTCAGCGATTGCTCTACCAGGGTTCAGACCTTTTGGACAAGTACGAGTGCAGTTCATGATCGTGTGACAACGAAAAACAGAGAAAGGATCACGCAGTTCGTTCAAACGCTCCTGAGTTTTTGTGTCACGTGAATCAATTATCCATCTGTAAGCCTAGATAAGAAGAATTTAATGTTTATTTAAGACATTATTATTATTATTATTATCTATATTATTAAGAGTATAAGCAAAATTTTATGGCCAGGGTATTTGTATGATAAAATGGGTTTTTATAGTTAAGTTAAATTTGGTATCGTTGGACAAGTCTTGATCTGGAGTTGTGCCTTTTCATGGTTTTATATCATTCTCACCAATCGTCAATTTATGATGATAAGTATTTAGGCTGCATTCAAAAATGCTCTATCTTTAGATACATAATTAAGAAATCACCTTTTATCTTGTGAACTATTGACATTTTTAAAGATATAAGCTCATCCCGATGTTACAATCATCAAGACCTTTCATTTAAGTACCCACATTAATTTTTCATATATTTATATACATTACATATATGTATATATGAAAATATATATAAAATAAAACAAAATTCAAAATTTAAGGTATAGTAGATTTTTTTAAATGTTGGTGACCGGGGCGACCCGCTGACCGGGGCGACCCCAAGCTCCCCTATGACACTGAAGTTAGCAGGCGTCTAAAAATTTTTGATTTTTTTTTATTAATTAAATTACAACTAAAAAGATTTTTTTAAAAAATTGCAGTTGTAGTTTTTTAAGTTTTTTATATGTGACAATTTTTTTTTAAGTTTTTTAATTAAAATTTTTTCAATAAAAAATTTCTAAAAATTTTGAAATTTCGGCTAACTTGATTTTCATTAAATACTACTAAATATTTATTTGGTGGAAATAAATGGGCTTTAATAAATAATAATAAAATAAAACTAAATCCTTCTATCAATAATATTTTCCAAGCGAAAATTACCTTTGAACACAGTATCCCAACAACTGCACGAACAATACTGCTTATCGACATCTCTCGCGAATTCTCGCCAGAAATAATAAAGAAAAAAAATATGCAATGGAGGTACCAGCAGTGGTGCCAGCATTCCTATTATTTTCGAGCCATAACTTACAAAATTAGAGCAAATAACACGCCTCAGAATTCTCACAACCATTATTAAAAATTAATTTATTTATGATTTTACGGGAAATAACAAAAAACAACAAACACGCCTTACTTCCAACGACTTCATAAAAGAACACTTATTATTAATGACTAAATACGTAATTTATAAATTTATTAATAAACTTGACTCATTGAAGTTCTAATCCCACATACACTAAGTACGGCGTAATCTTATCTGAAAACTTTTATTAGTATCTAATTACTTTTAAAAATTTAGTTAAGACATCACTGAGCGTTCCACTGCTTTTAAAACAATAAAACAATTACGAAATAACCTAGTTTGTGGGAAAAATAATAAATTTTATAAATATACTATCCGGATTTATTCTATGCATATTCAAATCTTTGATGTTTGTTTTGGCGGAATTAAGAAATACTCGGTTGACAGTCTTAAGAACGGGGATCGATACCACGTGTGTGTATTACATGATTATTTGCTTTAATTTTTTTGGAACTAAGTGTCACTTTTTTTAAAGACTATAATTAATTTATCCGTTGAGTTGGTACGAGAAAAATTTATTTTTGCAGTCGGCGGTAATACAGACGAAGATAATGAAGATATTATTGTTTATTAGAGTCGGTAGGGTAGACAGTTGTACTGATAGTCGGTAAGATAAAAATTTATTTTTGGTAAATTGCAACATCATGGGGTTTAATCCTAAAATACTTGATCTTGCACGGAAAAAAGTAAACTGTAATAAATAACAGTCGATTTATAATAAGTAATGATCAACTGCTAAAAATTACCTATTCAAACAGTAAAATCGTGATTTTACTATTCACTTTATAATATTTACCATTTAAACGTTACAATTTACTCTTTACATGGAAGAAAATACTATTTCAAACAATAATATTCGCTATGTAAATGTCTAAAATGTTTAAGTATAATAATTAACAATTCAGACTTTGATATTTATCATTTTGTAGCTAAAAAATGATCTTATGATATGTAAAAAGTATAAAATAAAGTTAGTAAATTTCTAATACAAGCAACGTCAATATTTACAAAGTAAAATGGTAAATTTTAAACGCAACGCTAAAAATAAAACTGTAATTATTGACTTGCTTGGACTGGTAAAATGTATTATTTAAAAGTATAATTTTTACTGTTTCAAATGTTAAATTCTTCCAGAGTGAGAGCCCCTTCTCTTTCATCTGAGTTCTCTTTCTCATAATATATGGACTATATATATTGAAATGGCAATTTTTACTGTTTGAAACTGTAATTTTTTAAGATGAAACAGTCGTTATTTACTATAGTGACAGCTATCACGCATAAAACAATTTTGTTGAAATAACAAAGGACGGGATAACTGAAAAATATGTTGTGATAACAAATGAGTGTAGTTGGAGCAACAAATCCATTAGGTGCATTAACAAAATGTTTCAAGTTGTACCAACAAACGAGTTTGTTGAATCACAAAATCAATTTGTTGCTCCTAACAAAATCATATTCTGTTGCTATCACAAAATGACTTTGTCGTTGCAACAAAATAATTTTGTTGCTGTTACAAAGTTAATTTTGTGGCAATAACAAAACTAATTTGTTGCCAAAATATTCTCCAAATCAGCTATATAACTGATTATAGCGTATTTTTAAATGTATTCTTATAAAATTTACTGTAACAAATTTATTTTGTTATTGCAACAAATTGTCATTGTTATTATTACAAATTCTCTCTATTACTTCAACAAATTGTCTTTGTTACTCCAACAAATCCTCTTTGTTATTTTAATAGAATAATTTTGATATTTCAACAAAAAATCTTGTTATACCAAATAAAGTATTTTGTCGAATCAACTTAAAGATTTTGCTGTAGTAACAAAACTTTTTCGTTGTTATAACATATCAATAACTTGTTATAACCAAAATTTTGTTATTTTAACATATAATTTGTTATCCCTATGTTAAAAAATTCATTTGTTACCATAACATATCTTAAGTTATAGCAATATACAGCCATATATAATTATATATAATTAGATATGATTATATTTGGCCATTTTTCATATATAATCATATATAACCAATTTATATATAAATATATATAATTATATATAAATATTTTTTCTCGGGTTTGCAACAGATTTCTGAGGAAATCCTCTCAAAGATGACGGCTCAATCCTATAAATAAAATCAAAAAAATAATATTAGATACCGGTTTAACCCATTGATCAGTAGGAGAACATCATTGGAGGATTATTAAAAACTCATTGATCCCGGACCTCGACAACTACGTAGGCGAGACGTTATTCATGAGTCATATATTACACACCGTTTACTAGATACACTTAAAAACCTATATGATATTATTTATCGCCGTGTCGTTAATATTAAGGCGACCTCAAAAAATAAATAATATACTGTACGTTGAAGAGATTACCCACTATTTTTATAGTTTTTTTTATATTAAAAGATAAAAGTTATGTTTCTGCGGATTGCAATGTATATACATATATTTTATTTATACAGCATGTGTGTTGTTATATAGCAAATATTAGATAATTACATCATTACATGTATAGTAACCGATATGGACAATCGCTAATCATGCACGTGAGTTAATCATTATTAATTTGAATTAATCACTTTCAATCCGCATATTAGCCAGCGTATTATCCTTCAAACGAGCGCTTGTTTTTTTTAACTAAATTCGATTACATTAAATATTTAATTACGCTTGTGAAAGCCAGCGCAAATATCAAATCAATTTTGTTGAAGAATTATTATTTTATTTTATTTAAAGAATTATTTATTGCTGATTCAAGAACAAATTCCACTAATAATGAAACAAGTGCAATAGATAAATTTTTTTCAAATTCTATTTAGTAAAATATAAGCAAGAGAAATTCAAATTTCTTCCACCCCTTTTTTTAGTTGCCACAAAAATAGTATTCTTTTAACAAAAGACTTTAAGATGCACCGCAATATTTATTCCTTTATAATCAATACTTTATAAATCAGATTAGTCAATAAATTATTCAAGTTTTTAATTATCGAAATGATTAATGGATCAATTGCATGCATCGCTTATTCTGCACATTCAAAGTGATTTATATAATTTAAATTAATTATTGTAAATTAAACAAATTTTTCTTTCTTTTTTAAATTAATAAAATCCGACCTA